TTATTATTATTATTATTATTATTATTATTATTATTATTATTATTATTATTTTATTCCCTGAAATTCTTTGAATGCAATCCCTATGGAAAGATAGATATGATTTGCACAGAGCTGTTTAGGAAGGACATACATGGAAAAAATCAGCAATCTGGAATTTGGTGAAAAACTAATTAAATTATTTTCTGTTGGTTTTTTTTTTCCCAAGGATTTTTTGTGATGATTTTCTTTTCTTTTTCTTATCCTTTCATTAGTACTCATCTAAAAAGTCTTACTAAATTGTTACCAAATTTCACTATAATATTGGGGAAAAAGCAAAAATTTTGATTGTCAAAGATTTGTAGGAGTGAAAACTTTTTAGAATATCTTTATTGATAAATTTGAAAAGTAAATTTGCCAAACCCCAATGATTGCATTGCTTCAAATGTTTGTTAAACTTATCACAATATACAATATATTTACAATTTTGGAAACTGAAATGCTGATTTCTTTCACAACAAGATTTCTTGTCTGAAGCAGACAAAAGCAAATATTGCTGTAGCCAAAATTTCCATCACCCCATTCTCTCAATAATGAAAATGAACATCTGTAGTGGGAAGTCTCTTTTCTAGCCACATAGGATAATCTTGACCACAGAAGATTTCCACAAACAGATGAAGCTCATTACTTCAGAAGTTTACCTTCAGTGAAGGGTAATATTGGCATACATTGTCAATGTAGCACACTCATATAATCCTCATCTGTTCTAAGGATTACTCAGTGGTAAGATGTGGATATTTAAGTTTTTAACGTAACATTTGTGCCAGATCATTTTTAAGCTTTTTTATAAAGAATTAGTAAAGCAAAAATTTGGATTAGTAAAAATTGAATTATCTTACACATACACACAAAGCAAAAAAACAAAAACAAAATGGATTTCATAGGGTTACCAACAAATTCAAATATATGCTTGATGCATTTGTTCACCTTACCTGTGTGTATTCGAACATGTCGTGTTAACTGACTTGGTTTCTGGAAAGTCTTTCCACAATGTGGACATGAATATGTAAACCCACTCCGGTCAATATTTCTATTATATGACCTGGTATTTGATACCCTATGAACATAAAAACAGTGGAACATCAACATTATTTTAAATATAATCATCAGCAGATTTTAAAGTAGACTAGTTTTCTTATTATTTCAACTATTAACAATCCAGAAAATTACAATTAAATATTTTGTTCAGATATACAATAAAATAGGTGCCTTGATACTAAGATTATATAATCATGATTATGGATCAAATGTTTTTTTTCTAATAAGTATTATATGTGACACCAATAACAAAGAGCAACAAATGCCACACTTTTAGTACTGAAACAGTGATCATCTTAATTCTTTTTTTTTCTACCAATATTCAGAAAGTTTGGACTATTTAGGACTGCAATTACATTTCTATTTGATCAAAAAGTTGTTCTAATTTAATTAATAAAAAGCACAGATAACAAACACCATATTAAAATAGAAATTCTTATATGCAGCACCTTTACTAAGGTTACGCATCTGACAAATGCGCATTAGCAAACAAAACCTCCAAATGCATAATTAACCAATAAATTAGTTGATTAATCAATTAAAGTTTACATGATTAATACATTAAAATGTCTCCAAACCAAGCTGCCATCCTTGTTGAAATACATGCAGTGGGACTGGATTGAGGGATACTGTCAGTCCTTCATAGGAAGAAGAAATGCTGTCTACAATATCTGAGATAAAGAATTGGGAATTCACTACATCAGGCTAGTTCTCAGCCAATTTTTAACACACAAAAAGGGGGGAAATGTAGGTAGCAGAGACCACACATAATAAACCACTGACATCTGGGCTCCACATGGACACTGTTTGTCCACATACCATTATTTGCCTGCTGTAGAAAAAGAGTTTGCGCTGCTTCTCTACCTCACGAATAGACGTGCTGTCCCAGCGAATGAATGAATCGGGCCTGAGAGTGTAAGTAATGTGTCTAAATTGCAATTGACCTTTAAGGAAACTTTCTCAGTTTCATAAATTCATTTTCTAGACTGAAAGATGTATTCCTGTCAGCTGCTCACTCCAACAAATACTAGGAGGTTATTTCATTCCAAATTCTTTATCCTTTGTTATGGAAAGGTTTTTTACTGATTGAGGACTTCAGCAAAAACTTTTCCATAACAAATCGCTGCTTTCTTTAGATAAAATGAATTGCTGCATTCTTTACATATCCTCCATTTTCTGTTTTGATTATAAGCAGGACAAAATATGTCCTCAGAAATCTGGGGATAGCAAGCTCTCAATTCCATTCCCTACCATCATAGGATATAATCTGTTTCCCCTTGCCCCAGGATGTTAAAAATCGTAAGATATGATATCTGGGGCTTTTCCAGAACTATTAAAAATCATCCAGCCATGTTTCTGAGAATGCCACAGAATGGTAAGTCAACCAGAGCAGTTTATTATCACATAACCTACTTGTGAACAAATGTAAAGAATCGACGATTTTCACCTTATTTTATAGTGAGTTTTCATATGTTCCTTTAGTTGGGAAGCAGTTTCAACCTCTTTCTTACAGGTTTTACAGATATGGGTTTTGCTTCCAGACAGCTCTTGGCGATGTTCTTCCATATGAAGGGCCAACTGGCTCTGCAAAGTGAACTCATCTCCACATTCTGAACAGATGAGATTCTATAAAGGTAATGTCAGCTTGATTACTTTCTGGAAATATGTAAGTATATTTTATGACATTTAGGAAAGTGAACAATTTTTTAAAAGAAATTAGAAAACCCAGCGGACTTGTATGTAGTTCTCAGCTTACAATCAGTCGCTTAATGAACATTCAAAGTTATGACAGAGTCTAAAAAAGGTTCTTACAACATGTCCTCAAAGTTATGAATGTTGCTCCACTCCCGCAGTCACATGATTGCCTTTTGGAATACTTTTTTGTGATTTTCTGGCAAAAAATACCCATTGGATACAATAGGTTTGTACTCATAACCATGCAGCTTGCTTAACAACCAGTTATTTCCTTAACCATAATAAAAAATGGCCATAAAATTGAGTTTAATCATATGCCTCAAGTTATGCAACAACTTATAACCGAAATTCCAGTCCCAATTGCGCTTGTAACTTGAGGACTATGTGTAAATGGATGTATCACATCTTTTCTTACCACTACATCAATATCAAACTAAAGGCTGAGTAAATGCAGGATTTCATTATCAGAGGTTATAAAGCAAATCTATAAAATCTTCTCAAAACTACAATATGTACAACACTGATATATTTATAAAATCCAACGAATCACATGATTTACCGAATTGTACTTTGGTCAGGGATGTACTTTTCAAACTAACTTAAAATATTCACATTAGTACCTAAATGAAAAATCAGATACTGATTTTGCACTTGAATTTCATTTTGCAGTTTAGATACATATAATAATATGTTTTTAGATATATAGTTGGGAAATAAAATTTTTAAATATGAAATAGGATTGTCAATATGATCTTGCCATTATTTGTGAACTGTTGCAAACAGTTGCCTGCATTCGCTCCCCTAATAACCATTCTGATGCTGAAATTATACTTTCAAACACAATGTTATAAATAAACTCAAATCACAATATATCAATTTGAATCTTAATTCCAAATTGGAATCAACCAAACCAGGGTATATAAAGAAAAAAAACAGATCATAGTTACATAGCTGGAGTTAAATCAAAAGTTATTTAATATAAAGTCAGATATAGTATCTATGCTTATAACATTATTATCCTGAAAGGCCTTTGATATAAGACAGAAGAAAAGCTGTGCATGGTATTTGGAAGTAAGTACTGTTAAATTTATTTAAGAATACATCAAAATTTAGTAAAAGAAAATATTAGCTTCTTATTGAAGTTAGAAAACATATTCTTTTTTTCCTTACATAGTATTAAGAATCAATTTAAGCAATATGTCAAAATACTTTAACGTCAAATGCTCATATTGTACAAATATTTAAAAATAAATATAATTACCTCTTCTTTTTCATGAAGCATAATATGAGCTTTAAGACTAGCCACTCTTGAGAATTTTTTGTTGCAAACAGGGCACATAGGATCTTGCCCATTGTGAGTACATTTGTGCAATGTAAGATTGAACTCAACATTAAATGACATTGGACATTGGTCACACTGATGAGGCTGTTTATAAAAAAGAAAAATGAAAAGTAAATTTAATAGGCCTATAAAGGAGGGAATACAAAGTATTTTTTCCAAACTCTCTAGGAACCTATGTCCTCCTTGACAGTACAGTTTGTACATAACTTTGTATACAAGTGTGTTTTATAAACCATCAGCATGTAGATACCCTGAAGTCTACATGAAACAATCCCATGTCACTGAACTTTAAATATTTCCTTTTAAAATATTCTCTTTCTATAATCTCGGATCTCTAATTTCCAGTACAAATTTTACCACAAATATATTGTTTTATAATCTTTATAAATTGTCTATAGGTAGGGGAAAAAATTCTAAACAAAGTTTAGGCATTTGTGGCTTTGTTTTTTAGCTCACAAAAACACTCAAAGGATAGAACAATAGCTAAGAGATAGTCATTGCTAAAATTGGAATAAAATATTCTTATAAAATGAGGGTTTTTTTCTGTTTTTCTCAAATGCATATAAGGGGAAGGAAAAAGAAAATTCCATAAACCATTTCTTTTGCAAAATTAAGAATCTTGAAATTTAAATCATGAAGTAATTGAAGAAAATATGCACACTTATTTGTACATCAATTTTCTCATTTTTTTTTCAAAATTAAGTGAGATACATACCTTGTCATTTTGCTCATGATCCCTCATGTGGCGCCAAAACAGTGTGTCTTTTGAAAAAGACCAAAAGATTCACACTTACAGAAGTCTGAAATTTGCCAGAGATAAGTATTATTCTACATTCAGTGCTAGAACACCATCTACAAACAAAGACAAAGTATTTTAATGAAATTATACTTTTCATTAACTAATCATGCTTAGCAAAAATTATCCATGTCCATTCTACTCTCATTTTTAAAGAAGATATATATGGCTGAAACTGACTTATTTTTATTTTTTGTTAGATTTCTATCCTGCCTTCACTCTGTATTTTACCATAATAACCCTGTAATCTGAGAAGTGGAGGCTGTCTCGAAGTGAATCAGTGAGCTTTTCTGATTGAGTGTAGACTTGAACATAGGTCTCCCAACACTTTAAACACCATTTCAACAACTGTTAAAAAGACCATGAAATTCTTTAATTTATTCTATTTTAAATGCTAAGTTTAAAAAACTCAGGAAACTAATGATAAAATAATTACAATAATAACTTCTTAAAGTCAGTTCAATAAGTGTTGCAATGAAATATCCTTCATGAAAAGATCTAAAGTTTTAAAGGCCAAGAACAAAAATTAAGAACATCTCCCAAATATTGTTTTCTTTTTTTAGATAAAAATTAACAATTCAAAGGGAACTGAAACATTTTGTTACTGAATGGAATATACTTCAAAAGACCATTTTTATTTACTCATTATCTGAGTATGAGATTGGATATTTCCTGAATGTATCACTAGAATTATAATTATGGATTTGACGTATAATATATAATATAGTATAGTATATAGCTTTAAAAAGCTTATCTTTCACAGGACCCTGGGACACTGCAGCTATCATAAATATGAACAAGTTGCCAACCCTCTGAATTTTGATCAGGTGACCACTGGGATGCTTCAATAGTTAAGTGTGAAAAATAGTCATGTCACTGTTTTCAGTGCCATTGTAACTTTCAGCAGTCACTAAATGAACTGTTGTAAGTCAAGGACTACCTGTACACTAATTTAATACATTAAGTTTCCAAAATACAACTGCGGGATTCAAAATTTTCAGGACAGAGATTAACTATGAAGCGGTATTAACTATGAAGCAGTTCAAAGTATTAAAATGTTTAGCCTTTTCAAACTGAATTTGCTAAGTACTAGTATAGAACAACAATTTGCCTACTTGTCACAGTATTGACAATGAGATGTAAGGAAGTTTTTATCACAATCTTTTACCACACTTGATTTTAATCAGTTGAGTAAACCTTTTCCCTGTTAAACCTATAGCAACATGATTCACTCATACTGGATTATTATGTTCACTGGGTATACATTTTTATCAATTCTGATAAAACAGCAAACTCTTAAAAACAGATTTAAGGAAATAATTGGATAGTAAATTGGGAATATACATGCAGAAATCAGAGTGTTAGAACTATTCTAACATCTTATTGTTGTCAATTAGGCTTCTTCGTGTAATTTGAACTAGATCTAGCATCAGTTCCAGTGTAGGTCTGTTAGACCTATCATATACCTGCTGTCTGAATGTGATCCTATATATAATGAGTATACAGCAGAAAATATATCCCAGTTACAATGTATCCAGCAAGTGGTTATCCAAAATTCATTCAATATGCACATATTTCAGATGATCAACACCAGTCTGCATTGCTACATCAAGGAAAAGGCCACATATTACACATACACATATTACACATACTCTGTTTGCAGATACCTTCAATTGGAAATGGAGACGGATAGAAGACAGAACAATATAGGAACAAGTAGAAAACAGAGTCTGAGATATCAGTATGTGTCTCAGTGAGAGTCCAGGCTCCTATATATCTACAGATCTGTTCTTTTAGATATCAACTGCAACATGGAGAAGCAGTGGGACAGCACAATGGAGTAAAAGATGAAGGAAGCTATTGTAGAGAGGGTAAAAGCCATACCTAAATTCTGACCAGATTGCAACTATCCAATTTTGCATTTCTCACCTTAGTTTTGTTTGGAAAGAGTTCAAGGAACAGGTCTTATTTTATTTTTTATAGCTGAGATTAGGGCAACTGATTTCAAACTATTAAAAGAAAATCTGGAGGGAAACAGATTGATGATGCCGAGGAAATAAAGAAACCTTCCATACTTTTTTTTTTTTGGGGGGGGGGGGGATAGCAAAACAAATTATTAATCAGTTTTAGATTCCTTGAAGTTTACAAGCAAGGAGGATCTTGTGGATTCTAACTGCTGATGGTCAGATCAAATTCAGGGCCATACCCCATCACGATGGATCAGATGACAGCTTAGAAAGCCGCCGGTCTAGCAACTATCAGAGGTGTCATTTTAGGGGGTGGGAGTTTTCCCCCACCTTTTTGTCCTCCTTTTCTCTTTCTGCTCTACAAACGGGCCAAAGCCAGGCCCAACCAGGAAGCTTCTCAGCCAAGGGGGCGGGTAGGGAAGGTTGATCCTCGTCCACTTTCTCCGAAGGCGAAGTCGGCTGTGTATTTTTTTATTTTTTTTCCCCTTCTCACACTCAAAACAACTCTTCCCTCTAACCCGGCCACCGACCGACCTAACGCAGCTCTGCAAAGGTCTCTTTCCCTAACTGCACTGTCCCTCTTTACTGGCCGCAGTCAACCGGGAGAAAGAAACGGGCAGCCTTCGCTCTTCCTCCCTCCCTCCCTCCGTCCGTCCTTCCTTCCTCTTCCCCGCGCTCGAGCAAGGGAAGACAGAAACCGCCACCCTTGCCCGTCACGTCGAGAAAGAAACGGACGGGAACGCCACCCCCGCCCGCCCCCTTCCAAGCTCCGAAAAGACGAATCCAATACATTTTTACCTACCGCCGGAAGCGCAGCTGGCGGCGGAGGGAGGAAGAGGGACCGACGGTACCTACCGCCGGAAGCGCGGCTGGGAGGTTAGAAGAGGGAACGGACTCAGAGAAGAGGAAGGGGAGGGAGGGAGGGAGGGGGAGGCGGGGATGTTTCTCAGGGCGGAGAGCCCACGTGACCCGGCACGAGGCGAGCGCGACTCGCGAGCCAAGGAGGAAGAGGCAGGGTAATGAGTTGACATGGGGGCGGGGGGGGGGGGGGGGGGTTGTGCCAAGCGCAAACGGGGGAAACGGGGGGGGGGGGAGGCGTTTTCTCTGAGAGGATGGCGGTTTCAGCCCCGCCCCCTCAGCCGTGGGGAATTTTGGGAGTGGTAGTTCCAGGTTTATCTGAAAGGCCGGTTCCGCCCATCCTGACAATCGAAGTTTTTGAATGACGACGGGTGGTCCCTGGGTCTCTCACCAAGTGGCCCAGCTGGCGAATCTTCCATCATTATTTTGATTTTGGACCTGAAAACTAAACAGATCCTTTGCCTTATAAGGACACTGCTAAAACTCTATGCAGGGCAATGAATAAGCTGCTTTCAACAGCTTCAGTAGAAAGTGTGGGATGTAAAGATTCAGACGTTAGTTGTGTGGTGACTTACTGAGATGCATGAGGAGGATTTCCCTCCCCACCCCCCACATCCTTATCTCTTTGGGATAAAATTCTTTCATAGTTTCTTTGTGTTACAGATGTAAACATAGAAATATAAATGACCGTTGCGATCACCTTATAAGCAACTGCATCCTCTTCACAGATGATGTAAAACTATTCAACACCACTGACAATGCTACTGCTCTTCAAAGTGACCTTGATTATGTGTCTGAATGGTCAAACAATTGGCAACTCCAAATCTCAACCAACAAATGTTCTGTCCTACACATTGGTAAAAAAAATCACTACACCAAATACAAACTAGGTAGATATGACCTCATTAATGACCCTCACTCTGTCAAGGACCTAGAAGTACTCATATCTAAAGACCTAAGCACCAGAGCTCATTCTAACAGCATTGCCAAAAAGGCATTAAGAGTGGTAAATCTAATCTTATGAAGCTTCTCTGGAAATACTGAATTGCAAACTAGGGCATAGAAAACCTTTGCTAGACCAATACTTGAATAGAGCTCATCTGTCTGGAATCCGGACTGTATATCAGACATTAGTACAATTGAATGAGTCCAGAAGTATTTCACGAGAAGAGTACTACACTCCTCTGTTCACAACAGAATACCCTATATCACCAGACTTGAAATTTTGGGCTTGGACAATCTTGAACTACGCCGCCGCCTAGAGTTGGACTTAAGCGTAGTACACAAAATTATCTGCTACAATGTCCTACCAGTCAATGACTACTTCAGCTTCAACCACAACAATATAAGAGCACACAACAGATACAAACTCTTAACCGCTCCAAACTTGATTGCAGAAAGTACGACTCAGCAATAGAGTGGTCAATGCCTGAAATGCACTACTTGACTCTGTTGTTACATCCTCAAACCCCAACTCCTTTAACCTTAAACTATACACTATTGACCTTACCCTAATCCTAAGAAGTCTGTAAGGGGCATGCATAAGTGCACCATCGTGCCTCCTATCCCTGTCCTATTGTCCCCATTTAATCGTACGTATTTTCTGTATTCTTACTCATATTTATACTTATACCTATTATTTTGAAAGCGATTGACAAATAAAATAAATAAAATCATAGGGCTGCAAGGGACCTTGGAGGTCTAGTCCCCCCAAGGCAGGAGTCCCCATATCATCCAGGACAAATGGTTCAGTCTTTTCTTGAAAATCTCTAGCGATGGAGCACCTGACTCCACTTAATTTTTTTCATTAGTACAGCAGTGTGACAATGCACTGCAAGTACTTCCAAGTTCATGGGATCAATCAACAAAAAGTTGACTTTCAAAGTGGCTTTAAAGTGGACACCCAAGTTTTCAGAATAGTGTGAGGATAGGTGCAGATTACCGACTAAAATGTGCCCAAATTGACCTTTGTAGTACAGGTAATCCTAGACTTACAACAGATCGTTTAGTGACAGTTCAAAGTTACGATGACATGGAAAGAAGTGACTTAGGACCAGTTTTTACAATTAGGACCGTAGTAGCATCCCTATGGTCTTGCGATCAAAATTCAGACACATGGCCACGGGTATCAAACCCGATAGTGTCACGTGATGTATTGTGACATTTTTTGCCTTTGCAGAGCTGAGGTTGGCGTGGTCTGCGGGTATGCATCCGGCCTATGGGCCACCAGTTTGACACGCCTGCACTTGGCAATTGTCTCAGCTTTATGACAATTCCAGGGTCACATGGTCCCCTTTTGTGACCTTCCAACAAGCAAAGTCGGTGGGGAAGTCAGATTCACTTAAAAACAGTTTGACTAATTTAATGGCAGTGATTCACTTGCCAACTTTGGCAAGAGAGGTTGTAAAATGAGGCAAACTCATTTAACATGTTTCACTTAGCAACAGAAATTTTGGACTCAATTGTGGTCGTAAGTGAAGGACTATCTGTATTTCTCCTAGTATTGCAGAGAAAGTAGCATGAGTGCAGCTAAGGCTAGTAAATTACTCAGCACTTTATTTTTCTAAACCCAAACATATGGAAAAACATGATTAAACAA